GCACTTTTCCCCAGGAGGGCTGTTGAGTCGTGTTCATTCAGCTCAGCACGAGCCCTCGTCTGGGCGGCTCCCGAGGCTTGCATGGCAGCCTCCATCTTTTCTCCCTAAGTCCACTGTTGCATTCATGCCTTATGCCCAGTTTCCCAACCTTCAGCCTCCTGGGGAGTGATGTTAGTGACAGTGACAGCAGTGGCTGCTACGCTCTGGGGGAAGCTCCACATCTCAGGTGTTTATTTAAGCAGGCTGCGTTTCACCCCTCTCTCCTTGCTAGCCGGCAGTGGTTCCGGAACAGACCTTGAGCATTTGCATTGATTGCCAAAGATGAATTACCATCTGCCTCGGCTTTAAATTAACTGGGGCTGTTCTAACCCACAGAGGATGGGGAGCTAGGAAAATGGAATTGATTCGGAGCTTATTTCCATTTTGAAAGGCAGTGAGAAGTCGTGGGGTGAAGGGAGGGGTTTGTTCTATGAGCCAAGAAGTAAAAGGAAGGAATGGTAGTAATATTGAGGGTTTGGGTGAGAAATAAAAATTCTTATCAATGATACCTCTGTGAACAAAATGCAGGTTAAGGAATACATACCTTCAATTGCCTTTTTGGCAGGTGCTATCCAGATGTTTCAGGAGACATTGTAATATTAGTGAGTTTTGTTTTCCGCCTATATGTGTACACACACTGCCAGCTTCCAAGGGATGAGATTGAAAACTGGCTTGATTACTTCAAACTCAGCGTGGCTGAAAGCTGAACACATCATCGCTGACTACAGATCTGCCCTTCTGCCCATAACCCTGAGCTCAGTTACTGGCTCATCCGTGCAGTCTGCTGGCCTAAGACTTCACAGGCTCCTCCAATTCTCTCCCCTTACAAAGCAAAGCCATCACCACTACTTGCTGATTTTCTATTCTAAGTAGCTCTAGAGACATTGAGGAAAAGGGTGGGGAAACAGCTCCTGCAATCTGGAAACTGGCCTCAATGTTATATTACAAGATACTTTGGGTCGTTGTTCTGTTGGATACCACAGTCTCACAGACACCAACGTCACTCTAAGACCATGACAAAGGAAGAAAAAAAGTCACTGTGAAACCCACAAAATCCCTAACCTCTCTTTTCACTAAGTTTCTGCTTTACGAATTACAGCTTTATGTCTTTTCTGGTCTGCCTTCCCCTGCAGCTAAACTATTGAGACGCTCAGTCATAGAATTGCCCCCTTTCTGATGCCATCCAATGTAGAGTGAGGTCCCACTTTCTTAGACTCTCCCCAAGATCACCCAGCCAAAGCCCAAATCCTACAGTAGTTTCTCTCTGATACTCTTAGTGAGAGTGTTGTGTGTTCTATCCTGCTGGGATGTGTAATAAGTCCAACTGGTTCAACTACACAGATGTGTTCCTGGTGGATCTGCGCTGGAGCGTGTTGACACCACTCCTTTCTCTCCATTTCCGGTTGAATCCTGTTCTTACCACGAGCCTACAAAGCTACAGCTGCATCACAGGTGTTTTTCTGGGTTCCAGGGTTTTTTCTCTCTGATTTCCCTTTCGCGCTGCCATGAGATTGCCTCCCTACCACAGCCCGCCCACCAGCTCACCGCATGAGACGTTCTGTTTATCACAAATGGGGCACAGAATATGACATTGATAGCATCAACTCCTGGGTATAATGCCCTCAGAAGGACAGGAAGTCACATTTGTAGTATTCTTACCCAAAACACGTAATCTCATTCCGATTATGAGATAGTGTCAGGTGAGTCCAAATTGAGGGTAATTCCACAAAATAACTGATCAGTACTCTCCAAGGGGGTCAAGGTCATTGGGGGAGCAGTTTCTCGCTGTCTAAACTAATTGGGAACCTACGGAATACTGTGGCAGATCTGTCTCTCTGCCTTTCAGAGCGTACAAAAGCTTCCTGCATGGTTTTGGGGGAATTACTTAACTTTCTGTATCTCAGCTTACTTATCTCCAAAAAAGCCTCCCAAACGTAGCATTCAGTGATTCTATCACCTTCACCTGACCTACCCATCCGCCTTTCCCCCCATGATTTCTTAACCGTGTGTCTGACAACCCAGTTACCCTCCTGCTCCTTGCAATAATCACATGGACTTCCACCAAGGTACCTTGGCTGATGTGGTTTTCTACAACTTATACAACTGTTTCTCTATCAGTCACATCTACTTTTCAAATACAACTCGTAATATGTTGAATATACACAGCTTTTATAAATCCATATTAAATAAACCGACCCACTGTATAATATGGCTAAATGATGTGGACATGCAGTTCACAAAAGAGGTTCAACTGGCTTAAATATAAGACAATATGTTCAGCATCACTAAGTGAAAAAAGAAATTGAAATAAATATTGAATGTCAATTTCAACCTTCAGAATGGAAAGAATTTCAGTGAATACAAATGCAGGATAAAACTTAGAAGGATCTCATAGGGGGCTATATTAGTTTCCCAGGGGTGCAGTAACAAGGTACCCTAAATCCAGTGGCTTGAAATAACTGAAATCTATTGTCTCACGGTTCTGGAGGTTAGAAGTCCAAAACTGAGGTATCAGCAGGGTCATACTCCTTCTGAAACTTGCAAGAGAGAGTTTTTCTGTTGATGGATGTCAATCCTTGGTATTCTTGGCTTGTAGTCACATCACTCCACTCTCTGCCTCTTGCCAAGCTCTAACTGGCTGTGTAGAGGGAGTGAAAAATTCGAAGAGAGCAAAATGTAGGTTTGGACTATGTAATATGTACCGAGTTTTCCCACAAATACATGTAGTTAAAATCATCTCCTCTGATTCTGTTCAGTGAGGTCAGCAAGTCCTTCTTCCGTATATATTAGGTTAATCCATATCAAATTGCCATTTTTGTAGATTAATTGGTCAAATATTAACAATTTCACAGGATTCAGTCTAATACCTACAATGATCGTATTCCTCACTGACTTGCCTGCTCATAGAACACGACTTTCCGTTTGGCTGTTGTTGAATAGCTTTGGATTTTTATAATCCAAGCAGTTTGAAAATCTGAATCATATATATATATATATATATATATATATATATATATACACACACACACACATACACACACATTTTATACATATATATATATAGTATTGAATGTAATGTAACTTTCTCTTGGTATCAGTGAACTTAAACTTGTCCATTGAAGTCAACTAACTCAGTTTGACTTTCAGTTTAATGCTCAGCCTTCTTTTTCCTTTCTGAATTCCATTGCCTTTTGGAAGCTACTTAGCATCTTGGCATAAAGTAGAACTTGCCTAGTGCCTGACAGTCCTCTGTCCACGCAGCTTCCACTGAAATGATCGTTTCCTCCTTTGCTCTTCATTGTTACGTGTTTTGAATCTGAAATGTTAGGTAGATTTGAATCTGGAGGAAAATGCAAAGACTGATTAGGTGTGTTTAGGCTTAATCCTTGGGTCTAGCACAGGGGTTCCTGGAGAATCCTCACTGGAGACTAGGCACAAGAAGTAATGACACGGAGGGTGGTTGATGGCAAGGCTCCCATCAGTGAATCCATATTGTCTAGAAGATAAATTCACATCTCCGACAAGTGGCAGGTAAAGCGAGCCTCCACTCCAGCCTCATTTCCCACCACTCCCAACCCTCCTGTGACCGAGATGGTTGCTGACCAACACAGATTAGCGCTTTTTTCCGGGATGTAGAGTTGTCCTGGGAAATGCCTCCCAGCCAGGAACCACACTGCTCAGTGCACGTGCATGGGGCCATGTGACTAGTTGTAGCCCATGAAACGTCTGTGGGAATCATGTCACACTTCAGCACAAAGGGGGCCAATACCATACTTTCTTCCTCCAGCTGCTAACTAGGTGTTCCTTGAAGCCAGAAAAGAAATCAAACTGGGGCCCTGAGTCACCATTGGGAGGAAAGCCACCTTGAGAGTCACCAGACCAGAACTTCTGCATTGGACTTGGCACAAGGGACAACTCAACTTTGTGTGAAGGCACCGAGATTTGGGGGTGTTTGTTGTAGCAGTACAACCCGGTCCACCACGATACCCACTACGAGCCAACATTCTGAACCACCATCTCTTCCCTCAACTCATCACGCTGTTTCACCCGGCCTCCCCTTGCAGTCTACACTGTCTGCCTGCAATACCTCCTCCTTTTCTACCTGATAAACCGCTGACAGTCAAATGTCAAGTAAGTGCTGTTTACGCTGCGTCCTTCTCTGAATGAATTTTGGGTTAGTCTAAGTGAATTCGGGGTGTGCAGGCTCTCTGATTACACCCCTTAGTCAGCTGACTGTGGGGTGCAGTTGTTCTGAACCGGATTAGAGGGCCTGAGTCCCCGCTGGTCTGTCCTGGTGGAGACATACTGCTCCCACAGTCTGTAAAGCACTGAAAGGAAACGCACAGAATGAGGAAGAAGGTCCTTGGAATTTTTGCTCTGCTCAGATTTAGAGGGAAAAAAACTTTCTTATTTTCAGAATGTGTGTTTTTTTTTTAAAGCACCCTATCTTTTTGTTTGTTTTTGGGGGGGGAGTTCATTAAGTTTACTTATTTTATTTATTAAATGGAGGTACCGGGGATTGAACCCAGGACCTCATGCATGCTAAGCAGTGGCTCTACCACTGAGCTACACCCTCCCCCCCAGAATGTGTGTTTTTAATGGCTATGGACCACGTGGAATGCATGCTTAGCTTGAAAGACATTGGAAATTTAGATTTCCCTGAGAGTCCAGCCAGGGACTTTTTGGACTTCCTTTGCTTCTCTGTAAAATTTGAATTTTTTTTTTTTGGAGAGGACAACCAGGGAATAAAAGAGGAAGGTTCCAATGAAATGGGAAATGCTTTAATAAGAACGTTTTTATTGTCTCTGCCCGAGTTTCTAACATAGTTTAGGAAGTGAAAACACGGCTTTAATAAAAATGCAATACTATCAGTTGCACGAAATCCTGTCCCTCGTCCTTCGGATCCGCGGGAGGAGGCGCCCCTCACTCCTTGGGGCCGCTGACCAGGGCGGTGGTGGAGTAGGAGTAGGGGCTGAGCAGCGCGGCGATGGTGTAGTGCCGGGGCCCCGAGTCGTTGGCCGTGAACACCACCTGGGACAGAACACACAGAGCACCGTTTCTCACACAGCCCAGCACGTGAGCCCCGGCCGGAGAGCCCGCTGCAAGTCTGGTGCCAAAGGAATTATTTTTATTTTCTTGTTTGTTTTCTGAAACAGTGTGAACAAAAGGCAAAAATCCAAATACACTGGCAAGCGAAGCCGTTGGAGCCTCATGCAGCCCTTTCAACAAGATTCTTCACTCCCATCTGTAGAATCAGGCCTCTCTCTCTCTTCTTCTTTTTTTTCTTTGCAAATTTACACTAAAGATCAGGGTGGCTTTAGCCTGACCGAGGAAAATGACAGAGATCCTAAATACTCGTGTCCATTTTGCAGGTTTTGGAAAAGGGCAGAGAGAATGTAGAAACTGGCATTCAGTGCCCAGAGGCGAAGAATGGTGGCAACCAACCCCGCTACAGATTTAGAGACCTGGGATTTTATAGCCAGAAGGGAGCCCATTTTACAGATGAACAAACCAGACCTCTGAGTCTAACCCACGTGTAGGCAGTGACAGAGCCAGACTTGCAGTTAAGGCTCCTGTCTCCAAACCCGGAGATCTTTCTGCCACTATTCCTTTGCATTTTCTAACATGAAGAAGTATATTTTTGTGTATCTAAGAAGCAATGAAATTCGGAATAAAAGCCTTACTGGGTTCTATTTACAATACAAGCAGGGTGTGGAAGATCGTGCTGGAGTTTTGAATTACACACATGTGTTGGAGCCCATGTTTTGCAGTTGGGCAAACTGTCTATCGAAGTGTTGTTCCGGCTACTCACACACTTTAGGCAAACTCAGTAGAGCTCCTGACATTCAGGGGTTGGGATAGTCTAGGTGCCCGGAGTGAGGCAAGAAGAGATAAATTTGGTTCAGGAGAGAGATGGAGAGCAGTGAGGTGTTTACTTTCACTTATTCTGTATACAAGCCCTGGGTTGAGCTTTGAACATCCCCGGATAAGTACCTTTTTTTTAAACATGGGAAAAGGAAACCTTGATTACTTGAGGACACGTGAGAAAAAAATCTGGCTGAACCACGTGAAGAACAAAAATAGCATTAGGGCAAGAGGAGGTGAGAATCACTTAAGAATCTCTCTGAAGCAGAAGGGGCATATCTTAAAGGTCAGTTTCTGGAAGCAATTCAGGAAAATTTCTTATCTCTTGTAGTGACATGGGCCTCCAGCCTCATTTGTTTCTTTCCTAAAAATGGTAAATGGCATCATCTGTGCCCCAAAATCCATGAAGTGAGGAGGACTAATAGTTTCAAAGGAAATCTCCTAACTGTTGTCTAATTTGGTCACCTGGGTCATCAGCCGAGGAGGAGTAGACCAGAGCTGAAGGGTAGAGATGTTCTGGAAGGTTCTCATCGGAAGAAGCTGGCAGCAAAGGAACTCATGGCTGAACCCACCACGCTGGGATTCGTGCCTGACAGCTGGTGTTCGCTGTCATTCCCCCTGTCCTCTCAGGCTCCAAGTCGGGCTCTCGGTCCTGCCTCCTGGGTCTTCCTTCAGCCCCTTCCCCTCCATTCCGAGGGCAGGGATGTGTTTTCACCTCTGAATCTCTAGCTTCTAGCAGAGTGCTCAACACATAGAAGGTTTTTATTTTTTAAATGTTTGTTGAATGAATATTAAAAGAGGGAAGGGCAGACAAGGAAGCTAACATCTAATCATAGGAATAGCACATCATGGGCAGGACAGCACTGGATCTTCTCAGATGGTCTCATCAGGCGGAGACCAGGGCGGACAAGGACCATGGGGAGGCTGCTCTGATGGTGCTCCAGACCTGGGAGTCTAGGGATGCAGATCTTGTGCTGGGCGCCATCTAGACCCTTCACCCACCTAGGATGGGGGCTCCGTGTCTTGCTGCCCAGCTGAGAAGTAGCCAGAGACATACTTCTCAGTCGACAGTGCTCCCATGGTGACCTGAGGGCCCCAGAAGTCAAACAGGGCCCTACAGTTTCCCTGGCAACCCTGTCTACTGAAAGAACCATTTTCTGGCAACTGAAAGTCTCATCCGTGACTAAGCCAGAGAGAATGGCTCCTTTTCACGCCGAGCTATTTTTGAAGCAATTAGTTGATCTTTAACTCTGACCAGCACGTCTGGATTCTATTTCCATGGCAGCCATCTGTTTGAAATGATGTAAGGAATCACAGGCAAGGAAGAGGTAGGGAGACTGGGCCCATGGATAACTCTGAGGTTCCCACAGCCTCATAAGCAGAGCAACAGAATGTGAACCAGGGATCCCAAGGCAGCTTGATGATGGTGACGATTTTTCCTTGGGCTTCTCATGGGAAGGAAGCTGAGGCCCACCTGAGACTAAACCCAGTCTGGGCTTGGCTGGTAAACATCACTGCTCCTCCCTTCACTAGCCCTGTGACCTTGACAAGTTACCGAGATTCCCTGTGCCTCACTGTCTTCCCCTGTAAAATGGGGGTAATAACAGGACTGACCCCTATGGGCTGTTTATGAAGATTAAATAGGTTTAATATAGAAAACAGTGCCTGGCATGTGGTAGAAGTTTGCTCAATATTACCCACTGTGTTGACATCATTATTTTGAATTTACTGTCTCTCTATATACGCATTGTCCAAAATCACCTACCAAACCTCTGGAAGCCAGATGTATTTTGGAATGAAAAAGTTTTCAGATTTTTGAGAAGTAAAATGATGCATCTGCCTTTTGTTGTATGTTGCCCTTTGTGGGAGGCTGGAAGGGCTGCCTGATGCTAGTAATCCAATATATTAATATTTCTTCAGCAGACAAACAGTCGGATTCAGGGAATGGATGAAGACTCTAAAGAGCGTCTTGTAAGTTCAGGGCATGTTACTAAACGGGTTTTCACCAAACCTAGAGAAAAAGTTTGCTTTTCAGAGTTTGGTGGATTTCTGATTGTAGAAATAGGGAAGGGTCTAGTCCAGTATTTTCCTTCTGACTTTAACACAGTATGCAAAGTGCAAGAGGTGCATTTCCTGGGATTAAAAGCAAACAAAAACAAAAAGCCAGCTCAAGCACCCACATACTCACCTCTGCATATTCGTGGAACGGGTTGATGCCAAGTGCCTTCCAGTAAGACTTGGTGTCTAATTCCACTTTGTATACCCCTTCTACGAATTTGTCATCTGTTGTGAGTCCGTGGAGCTCTCCAAATTCACTGGTTTTCCTAGAAGGTGCAAAAGTCCAGGTTACATTAGGCATAGAGGGAATAAATACCAGGGCAAGGTGACACCACACACACACACACACACACACACACACACACACACTCAGGCACACACATACTCATACATGCAGTGTGTGATAAATATATATATACATATTTTTTTCCCTCAACCAGGTCAGGACAGGGAAACTTCTAGTAACTGTCTAAAATTAACTGACAGGAAATTTGTCAGAAATGCTTCAAAAGGCTCATTAGAGATTTTTCTGTTTTATGAGAGCAAAGTACAGGTATGATGTTTCACTTCAAAGAGTCACTGCGGTTCAGGGTTGGTGTTTGGCTGAAGGTTCACGACCACCCCTGGAAGTGGCCACCAGCCACTCTGACTCTGCAGGTCCCCACAACGTCAGGGTGTCCTCTCCGCTGGGGCGGGAGGGTATCTTGCAGGGATCGTGTCGTGTGTGCACACACAGAGGGGAGCTCAAAGTACGACGAGAAACCTGTGTCTGACTCGTACATTTCATAATTAATCCGCTTGGTAACTCTTTGCCAACAACAAATAACTACGCACTCTTTTTGTTTTTAACTTGGTAATTTCTGTTTCCATATGAGTATCTGCCAGATAGCTGATGTGCAAAATCGCTCTCCGTTAGACTGTAAACACTAAGACAGATAAACCTGGAAGTGGTCCTTACTGACTCTGACCATTTCCCTCCCACTGTCTCCTCTTCCGGGAAGAAAATATTTCATTTCCCTTTTTTCGTCTTTTCATCAGAAAAAAGATTTCCCACACACATCTGAATGGTTTTGGCATCTCTCGCTTCGAATATTCTCTTAACTGCTTCCCAGAGTGTGCATGGCATTTTATGTCAACGTAAATGAATTAACAAATAAAAACTCAGTTGAAACCACACTAAAGGTAATGGTCGGAGGGTGGGGAGTGTACTCAGTGGTAGAGTGCGTGCTTAGCATGCACAAGGCCCTGGGTTCAACCCCCAGTACCTCCATTAAAAGAATAATTTAAAAAAAACATTAAAAATTAAATTTAAAAAATATTTTAAAAAAGTGGTCTTCCCAATGATGGGTGAAGAATCATCATGTGGTTCTTGGGATTCAACTAAAACCTACAGAAACTCTCTCCCCAGGAGACATAAACACTTTGCAGTATTACTTAGTGCTGAAGGTTTCTTGGTTGTTCATTCTTTTAGTAGTTGGCTTAGATTTACCAATATGCACTTGCTTTGAAACGTCTGCTAGTGGAGGTGAGAAAACTCCATGTAAGTTATTAAGCAGCCGATGAGGTGTGAAGTCAATTTGGCACCCGGCGGTGGGTGACTGCGGGCTGCTCTGCCGCTGCTCTTTGCATGGAGTGTCCTTCTCTTCTGTGCCCTCTCCTATGCAACTGGGCAGCCCCCAGCCTTGCAGAGTGGATGCTCCACAAGTGTTTGCTTGACAAAGCCCTGGACCCTGGCTGATCCGGATAAACTACAGACAGCCACCTCATCCTCATCCGGGCCATTTCTCAGTTCCTCCCCTTCATTAACACATGAACACAAATTCTCCATCTCTCCACCTTTCCACCACAGGGACTGACAGTTGAGTGTTTTGCAGGGGCTTCGAGGAACCTGTGGACCTACTGAAATTACACACACATTTTTGCATGTGTGTATATGTGCATTTTTTCCAGGTGTGGATTTCCTACTTTTCGTCACTCTTTTCAAATGGTTTGTGACCCACAAAGGTGGTGCTGCAGTGGGGAGGAGGGAGCTGCCCGAAATGCTGATCAGCCTCCTTGTCCCTCCCAGCTGAGTGAGGCAAGAGGGCATCCTTCTTATGGCCCATTTTCAATCTACTTGGAGATTCCTTTTTTTCTTTTTATTGAAGTGTAGTCAACTTAGTGTTGTGTTAGTTTCTGGTGT